ACCTTTTTTTAATATGCAAGAATAAGTAGGTATCAAGCGAGTTCCAGTAGCGGTCGGTGAACGTTCATCAAAGTATGGCAATATCTTCCAACCTAAGAACTGGCAAGACAACGAGTTCATGGCTCGATGGTTTGAGTGTTAGACTCTGATCGAAAGGGTCGCGAGTTCGAGTCTCGGGTGGTACATCACTTGGGGTTGGTTATGACTGGCTGAAGACGGCTAATAAGCCAGAACGGGTGATTCCAGTCTTCCCTGTCCTTGCCGGCAATACTATCTGACTAACACGTTGTTCGAATCGATAGCACTGTGCTGGTTTCGTTTTCAACGTGCACGTTAACCGGTTCTGGGCCTCAGCAACGCCCTGTACTGTTTGCACCGAGTCTTAAATGGCCACGTGCTGGGGGACCATTTCTCGGTTATTATTTGCATAGCTTTACAATGTAGGGGTAAGATAAAACAAAGGATTTGCACGTCGACGTTATTACCTCATTTGAGAGCATGAAAGTAGAAATATTTACAGATTACAATTTTTTAAATAACTTGCCTACAACACGTCTCATCTCATTTAATTTCCGTGAAAGGGGCTATTATTTGTCCCGCTCTGCTGGGTAGTGCACCACTTGGGGCTGGGCATGACTGGCTGATGATGGCTTATAAGCCAGAAATGGCAATTCCAGTCTCCCGCTTGTATTTGCCGGCAATATTAGCTGTCTAGACTACTCGCCGCTACGGTTAGAGAGAGAAAGGAGACTCAAGACAGAGCGGGACAAGTGAGTTCCGTTAGCAGTCAGTGAACATTTGTCAATGAGTAACAATTTTTTTTTGGAGTCTAGTGGTACGGCGACATAACTAAGAACAAAATAAGCTTCCTGGTGAACAGAACGCAGCGAAAACTTGCCTATATATGCCTTCAATGACGAGGAAGATTTTTGTGAAGGGCCGGTGACTACGTGGTCGACCGTAAACGACGGCGTCGGACAGAATTCTTTCTAAGTCTTCCATGTCGTTGTGCTTGAAACGTCGGACGGTAGCTCCCGACAGTCGGCACCCTAGGATCAAACTGGTGTGGTTTAGCTCGTCGCTGATCACGCAGGAATTCTGGGAAAGTCAAAAAAGCAAAGTTTTCAAAGGGTTGCCAAACTTTTTGGGTGCAATTTTGCCATGATATTTTTTTTCCGCAAGAATTTGACCCAATGATCAGGAACGGCATGATGGGGTGAATGAAATCCCTACGGTGTGATGAAAAAAACTCTAAACACAGCACATTACCTACTTAGACATCAGTCCAAACGGTCCTTTGTGACACGAATACTTCCAGAAAAACACCCACGCATATGAAAAGCTGCAAGGGAACATATTTCACACGATTTAAAGTGTGCTTTGTGCGTTTTTACCTCTACAGAGACATCTTGGATTCAAAAGCTCTATATACATGACCACCAGTTAATCAACAGGCCCATAAAATTTAACATTAAAGTTGGTCTACCACATTAGATACCACTGGCCCCAGAATTCTGCCTTACAGGACCGGTGGAATTAGTTTTTTTTGTTTTTCAGTCTATTATTCATTTTATTAGTTTACGTTTAGTCTTCGTGTAGCTTGTTTTTAATTAACTTAGTTCTGTGAAGTTAAGCTTGGTTAAGTTAGTTTAGTTTCCGAATAAATGAAAAGGTTCGCGTTCCAAGTATCTGCATGGATAAGTTTAGTTTAGTTTAGTATATAGTTTAGTTTGGTAAAGTTTAGTTAAGCATAGTATAGTTTAGTATAGTTAAGTATATAGTAACCATCTTAGTATATTTATCTAACTTTGGTGGTGTCTGGCTAAACTTAAACCCAACTAAACTTAAACTAAGATTAAGCAAATAAAATAAAATAAAATAAAGCTAAATGTAAACTAACTAAACTAAAAATAACCACAGGAATAGGGACTAGGGGTAGCTAAGGCGGTAGAGCAACTTTATTGTTCTCCATAAAATAAATCAGTTCAATGTCACAGGTTCGACGACTGATATACAGTTGCGGAGATACAGGAGAATAGGAGGTACTTTGCACAATGGAAAGCCCGGGCATTCTATAGGGATATAAACAACAGACAGAGAGCGATTCTTTTGTTTTACTACAACAGGACTTCTTTAAAGGTTGACCAAGCATTCTTTTGTCCCCACTAGTAAAATTGCGCCAAGCAGGGAAAATAATTTCACGTTTCCTGCATTCAAAGATGTCTCCAAGTCAAGAACAACATGAGCGAGTTGTAGCAGCGCAATTTTTAGGAATCTTTATGAATGCGAATCATCACTACTGACTGCGGAAACGCAAAGAAAAAAAAACGTTTTATTGTCTATCCTACTACTACTTTTCCAATGAAATGCGACCCAAGGGGACGGGAGCTTCGCCACAGGAAAACAGTTCACTTATGTCTCTTCAAGTTTAAGCGCACTTAGATCTAGTACTGGTGATCCACTTTGAGGGAGAATCGATCAGTTAGGCGCAATTAAGTCCAAAATTTAAAGGTCAAATTTTGATCTGGGTGTGAAGCACACATTCAACTTTCAGACGAGAGAGTTTATAATGCCGTTCGTGTATTTGACGGTAGCGCTTTTTTGGCAAGAATTTCTATTTGTATGACCGCCTGCAGCGGTTCTAGATCAAAGAATCAGGTCGAAATGGACGCTCGTATGCCGTGTTCCATCCCGTTAACTCGATAAAAGACACTGCAATGTGACTATTCATAGCTACGACTGCAGTCGGACTTTAGTGTTGGACTCAGTGCTTCACTGAACTCAGGTTTAAGTCGCAGGTGGTTTCAGGCAGAGCTGACGCCGATAGTAAAGACCGACGTAACCACCCCAATCTTTACATGACGATTTTACTTCTTAAAACCTTGATGCTTTAGCCTTATTTTCAAAAGACACTGCATGGCATCAAGAGGACTTGCGGTGTCTAGAGCTTCGAGACAGCAGCATGTTTTTCTAAATATAAAATCCTGAAAATCAAGAGGAGGCAACTTTAACTGAAGCCGGCCCTTTTGAATGCTTAGGATGCAACGAAAAAGAAATTCATGTCAGAAAAGTCAGAATCTGGAAGAATTGTCGGTGTCATCATTTCCTAGAAGAATGTATTAATTCCATTTCTGTCGACAACAACAGCAACAGGTGATTTTGATGAACCTACATCCATCTACAGAATTCTGTTTGTAGAGGTTACTCTAAAGGGTCAAAAAGAAAACCGATGTGGACCTGTACCAGCGTGTTAATTAAGGTAATCTTGAAAAAGTATGTTGGATTTAAAAGCATTTTCATTAACCAGAAAGTGCAATTCTTAAATTCGCACTCCATTATTTGTTGGCAAGGATATTTCGTTGTACACGATATGAAAATGAAACGGTGAAGTGATTATGCATGGAAGTTAATTATTCCTCTACTAGATCGACAAAGCACATATATTCATCATATTCACGATCTCAACCGGCAAAGCAACGAGCCCGTGGTGCCGTAATAGAGTATTGAACTCAATGACTCAAGGTCCCGGGTTCAAATCTCAGGGGTTCCAACGCTTGAGATAGGGTATGACAGGCTGATGACGGCTAACAAACCAGAAATGGTCATTCCGGTCTCCCTTTGCTTTGTCGGATCCATTCCATGAGAGTTTGCGTTTGGTCTGTAGCAGATGCAGGAAGTGGTCAATTCAAAAATGGTTATACCTGACGAAAGTCAGATTCCTCAAAAGAACTATATATTTTTGGGCCATGAGCCTAACGAAAGACGGTTTGTGAAGGAAACAAAGACTACAAAGGTCCGAAGCAACATCATATTTGCGACTGTAGACTAACAACTGCAGGTAGACATATTTACACCTTTCATTTGCGTTGTAATTGTCCTTTGTCAGCAGTTATAATGAATGTTTCGAGCGATGGAGATTGAATGATCACTGTGCTAATGACTATCAACGTCAACAGTTGCGTTATTGAGCTGAGCCACAAATCTCTACCACCTAACCAAGAATACGTTCAAATCCAATATCGGAAATTATTTAATAAGTAAGAATGAAATGCATAACTCAAAAGGGCTAGAACTACCCTGGTGCACTGCATATTACCGAGATTTCAACAATATTTTCCCATTTTGTGAGTCTATGAGAGAAATAAGAAATAAGAATTTTGTCAAACTGCATATTTGATGATCTTAGCAGAAGGGTTTTGAGTGGTAGAAGCCGTTTCGATGGCCCAATTTAGCGCCAATTACTAGGAACACACAATTTTGGTTTAACTGGGTGTCAAGCAACGGACAACTATGTCAATAAAAAACATCGATCCAGATAGTCGTTTATACGAACTACCATTATTCGAACGTACTAAAAAGGTATTACCGTGATATAATTAAAAACTTCGAAATATCTGACACTTCAGAACCAAGAGCAATCAATTATGGCTAATATTTAAAAGTTTAAAAGTTTAAAAACGCTGAGTGAACGTTAACTACGTGCTGATTAGTACGTTCTAATTTTCTGATGCTCAGAGAAATGATGCAAAAACGTTATAAATCGTTAAGAAATTAGGTCTACCTTGTCGAAAATTTGTGGCATATTCAGAGCATTTGTTGCAAATCCCATGCCAAATACGATGGCCGCCTCTTGTCCAACAAATTCTGCAACCAGTTTCTCTAGTTCACTGTGAAGCTTAAGTGTTCCTGCTTCTAGACGAGGACTTGCAACGCCAAGGCCATATTGTTCGATGGCCTTAACATCAGCCTCCGTACATGACCCATTAGATTCAGCAAATCCTAGGTAGTTATAGGAACCAAAGTTCATCACATTTGTTGTTGTTCCAGTATATCTAAAACAAACACGTTCAGACATTAAAAAAGACGTTCTATTAAAAATGAAAATGATCGAAAACACATGCTAAGTATTTAGATTACAATTTGCATGAATTTTATTGTACTGATATCAAGACAAAAAATGCACACAAGAATTTTTTAGAAAAAAATCAATTTCTTTGCCTCCCTCAGTTTACCTTCCTAGAGCATAAAATATGTCACAATTGAAAGTTTCCAGAAAGGAAGTTTGATGGCAAAGACACAACATATCAGAACAATTTTATTAATCTAGATCATCTGCATTAATGCAAAAACGTTGCACGCTGTGCACATTCAGAGATACTACCGAGTGAGGGTCGAATCTGATTTTAGCGTATTATTTTAGGACACATATAACTATAAAGTTAATCATTGGGAAACATTCTGAATGGCCAGTAAATGCGCATTCAAGGGCGTTCAATTGTGTTCAAATTCTAGTGAAAGTTTTGCCAATAATTCTCCCGTTTTACTCTTCAGTGGTATTTTATGCATCATGAATTTTACGAAGGCAAATATTTACTGAATTCACCCGAGAGTGAATAAGAGTCCGTCTGTTGCAAACTATGGCACTAAGTGAACGTAAATGCCGAATTACTTTAACTTGCCTTTACATATTTAAGTATACAATAGCCCTCAGCGTTCCAAAAAAGATAAAAACAATGCCAGCAGATTGTATTCTTTTCGCAAAAACAAGTTTTGGCTGATCACTTGCGCACTAATGCTTGGAACTGTCGAGCAAAGTAGGTCCAAGTTATAAGAAGTCACGAAATATGTGAGTTTAAAAAACTATGCACACAAAAATGGCAACTGTATTAGATAACTGCTTCCAAATCTCGAGAACGGCATAAAAACGTATTCATCTCCTAGTTATTCAAAAGGCTAACAGAGTTTTATATCGATTTATGCTCATAAATAATCTTTAAAAAATCAGACAGGTCACTGCTGGGTTCTTAAAGAAGTTCAAGGCTTAGTGTTAGCATTTATTGACCTGATTATTGAAACGCATTGTAGAAATAGGTTACATTTCCAGGACCGTCCCGCTTGAGGTGTAAACTGCACAGCTTACTTGGGGGAATTCCTGATGAAGAAATCGTAATTTACAACAAGCCGTTTAAATAACGATCATATATTTGATTTCAAAGTCTCCTTTTAATTCCAAAAAATACTTTTAGTCGACAAAACGTTTCTGATATATATACTGGTCTCCCCTCACGATTTACTTAGTTTCTCCATATATATAGTTATAAAAGGAGATAAAGGCCTCAGAACTCTGGAAATCTACAATCTAAAAATTTGCACTAAACTGCTAAAATAACAGAATATTCAAGATTATGCTGGGTACCAAATACGTTTTACTTACAGGAATCTGGAAAATCTTAATCTAATTGAGATATTTGTTCTATGCATAAAATTCTCCCATGAATAATCAGTTTCTGGTACATAAAAAATACTTAATACATGTAATCTCACTCACTCAAAAGTCCAACAACTGTCGTGGGTAACCCGATCGACAAGTTCCATCATGGGGCCTGGCGCTGAGCAAATCGGTCGGTTCCAGCAATCACGGGCTCGCCTGTACATGTTCCGTGTGTAAAACGCCTCAAAGTCGGAGTAGAGTGGTACAAAATCTTTCGTTAGAGGACTTTCTTTGGCGGCCGGATTTTCAATTACTCCCACCTTCCGAAGGAAGTCCTGGAGACGACCCAGGATATTCAATATTAGGAAGGACAAGTAAGTAAGAATGGCATTTATCAGGGTAACTGACTCAAAACTTTCATAAAAGTCATCGATATGCCTCGGTTTTCCCGAGTAGTGAACTGTCGATGACCCAACCATCACAACAGCCAGCCAAAGGCCCAGTTGAACTATGCGGCAGTTCTAAAGGTCACGTCCACGACTGGTACATAGGCGATAGAAACAAA